AATTGGCTTTTGAATGACACAACAAGACAGAGGGGAACATATGGTACTATATAAAAGGAAATCCAAACTGGACACGTGAGACTGGCGGTGATGCTGGATACACACGCAGGGAAAATTTGAATATTGTTATAATATCCTTAGATTCGAAGCATGAAGGACTTGACAATGAAGTTAAACAGTAACATGAATAATATGTGAAGGATTTAAATTGCTGTAATACATGAGTTAAAAATACTTTGGTGCCACACAGACCATCAATTGTATTTCAATTTGTGTGACCAAAAACACTGAGTGTAACTAAAGTAACCCTTAGCCAATTAGCCATGGAACATTAAAACATTTTTTGACCAATATATATAGCATTAAGAAAATACAATAAGATGAAAGATTATATAACTTTCAAAGAAAATTCTTGGTTATCAAAAATTTTCAGAAAATAATTCTTCATCCAGTTTTGTTAAGTTAAATTGATTTGTCAATTTCCAATACATGATGGAGATCAAATTTTCCCTTGAATAGGGTGCATATGTATGCATGTAATGAAAACTGAATTAGTAACTAATTTTATACTTTATATTATTATTGACAATATAATGAGTAATCTTTCAGTGGTGCACCAAAGCTAAGCTTCATGGCTTGACAATATTAAATCTGTACTTCAAGCAACTAAACACAAAATAAATTTCAGATTTTGATAAGATATAAATTATCAATGACAAATGAAAAATAACAACCATACAAAAAAAAAAAAAAAGCCCCTTTCACTTTAACCACAATTAATTTTGAAATATTTGAACTATGAGGATCACTACAAGAAAAATTCAATATTAATTTCTTAATGGATTCAATTAAAGTAATTATATAATACACCTAGTGATAAAAGTAATAGTACTGAATATCTGTTCTTTAATTCAATAATATTCCTACTGTATTTGATTCAGAGGAAAATTTGCATTCCTTTAATTAATTTTGTGCTTTGTTGAGAAGTAACTGTAGACTTTCAAAGCAATGATGACAGGAATTTCAAGCTTTTAAAATGTAGCAAACCATCATAATATTAAAAAAAAAATTATCATGTGGTACTGCATTTCCAGTATAGATACCAAAAACTTGTAAAAATTCATTCATAGACTTTTTTTTTTTTGCTAAAAACACTGCATCAGCCAATAACAGGATGGGTTTTTAAGCCGATTAGATAGTTATCAAATGAATTAATATATTTCTGTGTGGACCTGTCTCGGTATCTCCCTGAGCTAAGTCCTGGTCCTTTCAAGCCCTAGAGGGCTGCATGAGGCCTCTGAAACCCACCCTTGCCTACCAGGAGACAGGACCAGAACCTGGTTTTTTCTTTGTGGTGAAGGGGAGCTTGGAAATAACTGATCAACCCAAAATTGAGAAAGAAAAAACACCAGAAAGCATAAGTGCAACAAAACAAGTAATTGTTTGAAGAAAATTCTACCTATCCACCAAAGATGATAGTACTTAAAGCAACTATTGGTCTAATAGACAAAAATTGGACTGTTTTTATCCCCAAAAAGTTCAAATTTTTTACTATTAAAACACTCCAAATGGCATGCTAAAAAATGGAACAATAACTATACAATGTAACCTAACTTGTACTAGGATTAAACAAGCAAGCCTAGGCCTAATTTAGGTCATATATATACACTAGGCCTATTAAAGTTTAGGTCTGGCTGTTGCTATCTTTCTCCTGCTCTCTACAAAGTTAATAGTGAAAAATGAGGACTCTTGTGTGACCAACAGTTTATTTTTATTGTAATAACTGGCATGTAATGTGTAGCTTTCATTTGTTATTAATCTAAATGTGTTTGTTTTTATTTAAATAACAGCTAGTTTAATTTGTGTTAATTTTATGTTTCATTTGCTAGTGTTTGCAAGTATGTTTAATTGCACATGACAATGTTTGTCTGTGTGTAAAGTAGACTACCCATGCATTTGCCAGTGTCTCACCTTTGGCCCGCCACCACCCTCAGAGGGGAGCCGCATCTAACCAAGTGAGTTAGTGTTGTTAACTATCTAAGTGAGGTTGTGTTGCGCTCATGAGGCACCCAGTTCTGAAGCAAGGTGTTTATCTCAAGTTTTCTCCTATTAACACAGAGACCTGTGTATCCTTAAGTTGAGTTCTATTTCATTTGCTTTAAAAATTAATGAAATGCATGCACAATGTTGGTTTAGTTGAAACCATGGAAAAAATATTGTGTTGTGTGTGGGATCCACTTGACTCAGTTTTGTATTTGCTGAAGTGTTATCATTATATTATTATGTATGTGTTAACATAAAATATTTAATTCAAAGAAATAAAACAAAAAATATATATATAATTTTGGGTATACCTCCCTTACTCTGTACGTTTAACAAATAGTTGCTATAAGTCTTACCTAGCCAATCCATGTCTTAAATTTCTAATTTTTCCATCATCCTCTTGAGAAATAAAACCCGCCATTGAATGCAAACAAACACCTCTTTCTGGACGAGCCCCAGTGGCTCACTGAAGCTGTGTCGCTGAGATTGCTCCATGCAAATGGGTCGCATCAGATGCAAGAGTTCTGTTTGGCCTATCAGGAACCAGAGCTGAAACCTGACCCTCACTCTCAGAGGCGCAGAGAGCATGTGACAATTCGCCACCACACCTGGAAAGCATCCAGAAAGTCAGCGAAGCTTTACACACAACTGAAGGAGTTAACAAAGACCACAGCTTCAAAAACAGAAAACAACTCTGCAAACAATTCACACAGAAAAAGAGGAACAATGAAAATTACTGTGAAACCAATAGAAATAAATGCCACCACCAAGTTGGCCAGTCTCTACACGCAGTAATCTTCCTTCTCAGTTCTGGAGCTGATGAACAGCCCAACAATGAACCAAATAACCTGGTAGTGAGAAAGGATGTCAGCAAACCACCGCGACTCATCCAGAAAGAGGCATTTCATTACATTCAACACTGGATTTCTGGAGGGAGCCTCAAAGTGACTTCCTGTAGCTAACTAACTACACAGAACAAAAATGGGACTTACCAGGGAGGAGTAGAGGTGGCTTGCACTAGTAAGAAGTAGAGAATTCAGGGTGGGAGACACAGTCCAGGATCTCTGTTAGAGTGCCAAAACCCCCGAATCCAAATATCAACCCAGAAGTTGTTGGAGAAGACTGTAGCCAACATAGCAAATTTGCGAACATCATGGCCCTGAGGACACACCTCAGGCTGTCTAGATTTGATGACACTGCAGACAATCTGGGAAATACGAGCCATAGAACAGAGGACCAAGGAAACAGGCATCGACAAACAAGGCGTCCACCAAGGCAGAACTAGTATCCCGTAGGTAACGGAAAAGAGCTGCCACCGGACATAACTAGTGATGTACCCCCGGATGGACCATTGAAGTACATTGTCAGGCCGATCTGCTTTAAACAGCAGAGCCGTGGAAAAGCACCCAGGTTCGAATACTAGGCTAGATTCAAACCCTCGAATGTATATTAAGGACTCGTCTTTGTTTTCTTTCCAGGATACTGCTTGCTGTGACTAGTCAATTGGCTTCCCGACCTCAAGCTGTGGTCTTGATTTCATTTTTAATTTCCAGGGTTTTTTCCATTTGGCCCATTTTCTGTTGGGGAAGTCTTTTATTTTTAATCCCAGATTTTTGCTAGTGAGGAAGGTTAGTCTGTGGGATTTCTCATAACAGTTATGGCTTTATGTGGTTACATGTGGATACTCGGTGACCTCTGGGATTCCCTTCTTCTCAGTAGGGTGGCAGGGTTCTGTTTAGGTGCTTGTTAGTGATAGAACAGGCTGATTGTGACCCCAGGATGACCTGGGTTGCTACCTGATGGCAGTCAGGCACATCACAGATAGGGTATTTATGTCATGAAAACAGTCATTAGCCTTGTTACCTAATTTTCTTCAGCAGTTACTTGTTTTGTTGTGCTTATGATTTTCAGTAAATTTATGTTTAGGGTTGATCTCTGATCCCTTTGGTTCCCTTGCCTGATAGAGGCAGATTCTGGTCCTGGTTCCCAGTAGGCAAGGGTACATTTTATTAAGACTTCGATGAACCAGCACTTTGCTCACGGAGCTACTGAGGGCCCACCAGAGAAGGGGGGTTTCATTATATTTAACTCTTGATTTTTATGAATAATCAAAGAACAGTCTACAATGAATCCTTTCAAATTAACTTTGATGAATGTAGTACATTATATAATCGGGCATGAATATTGTACAAGTTACAATCTAGTAAGTGAAAGGTTGAAATTCCCTAGCTAATGTGTAATTTATGTGAGGAGGCATCAAGAATAAGGATAAAGCTTTGAGGGGAAATGGGTTTTGGTCCTTTGAAATAAGATTTAAAAAACTCAAACCCCTTCGATGTAAAATGACTCGGTTGAAGTTTAATGCAGAGTAATATTTCTACAATTCATTTCCTCTCCTGATTATTACAACAGAGTACAGAACAGTACTTATAAATGTGAAATAATATTTACAAATTTTCAAATGAGCCAATTTTTCCTTATAGTCATTCAAATCTTAAAAATTAATGAGATAACCTAAAAATATATATATGGTAAAATAGGATATAAATAAAATTCACAATACTGCTGAAAATTGTAAGCCTATTCATCAATGGGAATCTAAATAATTTATAAGCTAGTATCTAATTTCAATTAAATAAAATTTGTCATCAGATGAGTGGTGACTGTTTTTCTGTGGTGAATATTAAAATTGGCGCTAAGTTCAACCATAACAATACAGTATAACTGATATCCTAAGTGATTATAGTTGTTCAAAATATTAATATTTATCTTCTAAGTTACACCAACCTGCCATACCAAACACAATAATGATGATATAATACATTTTACCACATAAATCAAGAGCATTAGCAAAAATTAAACACACACTTAAATACAAGTTGACAAACATTAGTTTTTAACTAATTTTTTGTACACAAAAGGAGAAATTAAAAAATATTATATTAAATTATACTTACAGTTTTTACACTTGCACTTCTTGATAAGAGTCTCATCTTTAATATCATCATGACAGGCTTTGCAGTAATACCAGGCTCTGAAAAACATAACTTGTCTTGACTTTTTAGCATTCCTCTACTTATTGAAACTTAAATTTGTACAGGAACAAGAACTCCTTAATCAATTGCTGAAGTGAAACTGAAAAAGATATCCCTACATATCATTATAAGATAACCTACATAAGTTATATATATATATAAGGTAGGTTATATAAGATAACCTACATATGCTTATACCTGTATCTACTGGCACATACATCCTCCCATACCACATTACTGAGTATCTCTCAGTAAACACACCATCCCCAACCACATTATATTTCCTGGTACATACACCATCCTTCACCATACTATACAGTATCTTCCAGAACACACACTACCAAAATGTGTTTGTCCAAAATGAAATTTTCAGAAAAGCCGATACAATAAAAATTTCCGAGAACAACACAGAGCACAAAGAGCGTTTTAGAGATGAAGTAGAAAAAAATGCTCAAGGAGTTAAGTTGAAACAAAGCAGTTGGCCCTGATAGAGTTTCACCTTGAGTTCTGAGAGATTGTAAACATGAGCTCAGCATTCCACTTCAATTGAGTTTTGAGGCATGTCTGTGCTCAGGAGCCCTTGCAGTAAGGTATATGGAAATATGGAAAAAGTATATGGAAAATATACAGCATATAGAAAAAGTATATAGAAAAAGACTATTATAGTTCCAATCTACAAAAGTGGCAGTAAGGAAGACCTCCTTAATTATAGACCTGCATCACTGACAAGTGAAGCAGCCATAATACTGGAAAAAATATTTAACACCAAATGGAGAGAACACCTGCAGAATAATGATATAATAACAGACAGTATGGTTTTCAATCTGGAAGATCCTGTGTAACTAATTTGCTTAATTTCTAAGACAGAGCCAGAGAGATTTTACAGGAAAGAGATAGTTGGGTTGATTGCATTTATCTGGACCTAAAATAGGCTTTTGACAAGTCCCACATAAGAGGCTGCTCTGGAAACTGGAGCATACTGGAGGAGTGACAGGTAAACTTCTAATACGGATAAAACATTTTTTGACATAAATGAGTAGTAGTAATCAGAGGCAATGTATTGAACTGGAGAAATGTCAGAAGTGGAGTACCACAGGGTTCAGTTCTTGAACCAGTAATGTTCATTGTCTACATAAATGACTTACCAGAAGGAATACAGTACAGAATTATATGAACATGTTTGCAGATGATACTAAGATACCAGTAAAACTAAGAAACATAGACAATTGGCATGCCCTTTAAGAAGACCTGGATAAAATAAGTATATGGAGCACCACTTCGAAAATGGAATTTAATGTGAATAAATGCCATATTATGGAATGTGGAGTCGGAGAAAATAGACCACACACAACTTTCAAATTGTGTAAAAAAACTTTACAAAAGTCTGATAAAGAAAGAGTTTTAGGGGTGGTTCTAAATAGAAAAAGGACACCCGTGGACCACCTAAAGAACATTGTGTGATGAACCTATGCTATGCTTTCCAAATTCAGAATCGCTTTTCGATACATGGATGGTGAAATACTAAAGAAATTGCTCACAACCTTTATGACACCAAAGCTGGAATATGCAGCGGCTGTATATCTTAATTAATCTTAATATCATATCTTAATATTAAGCCCATATCTTAATTAATTAAGAAGAACATCAACAAACTGGAGAAGGTGCAAAGACATGCTACTAAATCACTTCCAGAACTGAAAGACAAGAGCTACAAGGAGAGGTGAGAGGCATTAAATATGCCAAACTGGAAGATAGAAGAAAAAGAAGTGATATGATCACTGTGTATAAAATAGTACGAGAATCGACAAAATTGATAATGAAGAATTCCTGAGACCTGGAACTTCAAGAACAAGAGGCCACTGATATAAACTAAAAGCTGCTGAAGAAATATAAGAAAATGCACTTTCGAAAATGAAGTGGTAGACAGATGGAACAAGTGAGAAGGTGGTAGAGGTCAAAACCATTTGTAGTTTCAAAGCGTTAAATGATCAAAATTGCTGGGAAGAGAGGACACCACGAGTGCAGCTTTCATCCTGTATCTAATTAGGTAATTACCACATTTTGTACCAAGGACACACATCATCTCCCACATTATATCTCACATAAAATGACTCTCCATAATTTCTGAAACATCAAGAGCCAAATTATTATCAATGACACTATAACACATCTCTGACTCTTACCTCTTAACTTCATCTGCAGACTGAGCAATAAAGAATCCTTGTGTATTTGGTTGAATTTTGGTGGCTTTTGGATTAATTGCAATCTTGCTATCTGTTCCCTCCTCGTTTTTTACTTCAATTGCCAGTAAAAGAAGCTTCAGTTTTGAAAAACAGAGTCTGTGGAGCAAATATTATTCAATTCTGAATTATATATATAACAGATGTATATTGAATAAACAACTGATGATTTCATAGAAATAAACTGTGGCCCACTTTATGCAGATACCATATTTCATAGGGAGAGTACCTTATGCACAAAGCTGTGGGTGGGAATTATAAATACTAATGATGTTGTTATATGAAGCAAGTAATAAAATAAGAGAAATTGGATAAAAATAATGTGTGTGTATACAACTTTTACTGATTACAAGAACAAAAGTAAACTGAAAATTCCTTGAATTCTACCATTACATATGACTGAGTAGTTTAGCTTGCAATTACAATTCAAGTTATTCTTTAATCAATCAATTTTAACTATCAGAACATTCACTAAATATGGTAAACACTATTATTTTCTTCATTATATCTTCTATTAATAAATAATATTTATGTAACTATAAATCTGAATAAACATATAAACAAAAACTTGCAAAATGTATACAGTAGAGGGTGTTTGGCTTTGCATTTTTTTAGTATGATTATCACATTAAATAGTGCACAAAAATATACCACAATGAATTGTTATTATCATGCAAAGACAATTTTAGAAGTACTTACTGTACCAATTAAGGTGGGCTCTCTTTTGCAGTGGTAAATAAAGAAAACAAAGAAATAAGAGATATAAAGCCAAAATGGAACATACGGAAAGCTGGAGGAGAAGGATAGGAGGGCGAGTTGTTGCTATGGAAGCAAGGAAGCTTATACCTGTACAGTATTGAGATGCCAACAAACAAGTCTCATGTCTAAGTTCAAAGAGGGCAAATCTACATGTCATATGTACTACCTAATAACTGAATCTAACCTTTTAACTGTACTAGGTGTAAACCTTGGAATAAATCTTCATTTGATTTAGGAAGACCCAGGAGTATGTAAACAGAATTAAAATTAACAGGAGAGGAGAACAGAATTAAAATGAAAAATCAATAGGCTTCACATTCCTTTTATTCCACCCAACTTTGAAGCAGTACATTGTCTTGTCTTTAATCAAGTGGAATGATCTTGACTTAAACTTGATGCAAAACAAATACAAATTTAATTTCGGTAATTAAAAAATGTTACTTTTGACCGAAAATAATAGTTTATAGCTTACAAATTTAAACTCTTTATGAATTTTCTGAAACTATTTCTAAAACAGGTTCTGAAAATATTTTACATGTTTTGAATACATCTTTATAAAATTTTATATTGAACAACATTATTTGATCTAGCAAAATCACTTTATATTATTAAAATATTGAAAAAGCAATATAGCTCTTTAGTTGCTTAAACAACTCCTATATATATGTCAGCCACCGATGATAGATGAAGGCAAGATCTCCATCCCTTTAACTCAGTTGTATATTTGTCCTGAGATAACAGCAGTTTGATGAACTGGAATTCCAGGTAGAATCAGAGGCATGATTCATACTGCTACATTTTGAATAACCGAGTAACGTCTTTCCTTACTAAACATTATCTTTTCTAAGCTACTCAGCAGGCTAAAGCTCTATCTCCAGTGCATCAACACTACCTCTGTTACATAAACACCATCTCTATTCTATAAGTGCTGTATCATCCTCCCTAAATAATCAATCATCATTACAATTTAAAACTATGCCATCCTCATCGCAAAAGCAGTAGTATTCCATGTAAGAGCTAATCTCCTAAAAGTCCTTGTCTCTCCCTACATGAAACAACATCACCATTAAAGCTTTAACATCATTATGAAAGTAAAAACCTGGCTACAGAAAAGTAATATTTTATAAGGACTGTATACCATCTCAATCACAAGTTCTATTAAGCTAAATAAAGTCTTTTAGGTCTAGGGAATGATTCAAAACTCCCACAGGTACACGAGTCTCACATTTTGTTTCTCAGGACTTCAGTAAACAGATGCCATCTTGAAAAAAAAATCTCTGTATCCCTCCTGACTGTGAGAATCTCAGTATTGCTAGAGCAACCAAGGCTGGCATATCCAGCAGGAGCTCACAAGCCAACTATGCAGATCGGGAACACAGTACTACTTAATAATGATGAATAAAATAAGTACTGGTAACTGCAAATATTTTTTAATGATATTCTCAAAGATAATCCTGACTGTGATAAAAACTATGTACAAAGTTAAGATATCAGTGAACACAAAACTAGTTATGATGTTCACAGCAGGAAGCAGACATTCACAGCACACAGCTGAGGTTTTATGCATGTATGCATCATCCGGTGTGACCTCATGTTCTTTTACAAAATCCCCTTGTGGAAAATAATTCATATTTTATGATTTAGTGACAGGAATCTGATAGAAATAGCAGTACTGTGGCTAGACTTAGTGATGTGCGTAGTATATTTGAAGGCATTTTGCTATGCTAGGTGACGTCGTCTCGTCAAAGCATGTGGATCTCTTCTGTGCTAAGATTTCATTACCACACCTACTAGAATTATGTAGTGGCTTGTTATGGTTTATAAAATTATAGATAGCTGTATATAGTGTAATAACAGAAAAAGCTGTACATTTAATTGTTCACATAATCGAATATTGTGTGCATATTTGTGACACAAATATATCTGTGCATACCTATGATCTACAAGTTCAGAGATAAAAATAACATTATTGACAGCCCAATGCATCATTGTACAGTACTTGAAAAACAAGGTATGTAATATCAATAAAAATATGAAGAAAATAAAATAGGTTCATTGCATGTAAGACTATGAACAAGTTATGTTCTGAGGAGGTTGTCGTAAAGCAGTTGTTTGGAATGCGAACCAAGATTTTCCATAGGACCAATGCTATAAATGGAAGATGCATCCCTGAGCCACCAAAATTCCTCACAAAACAGATATTTTTAGGACATTTAATATAAAAAACACAGCATATTACAGTACAGTATTTACCTTGAATGTTGGATTTATCCTGCATGTCAAAGACAGCTGTTTTTGAAGATTGAAGTGGGTTTAATAACATGAATAAATAAATGAAAATACATGTGTACTCTACTGGCATTCTACTCTCCACCCTTCAATCACCAGCCTGCGGACCCACCTCAGCCCAACAGCGTAAACACAATTTGATTTTTACCACTGCACCCTGTACTCACCTAATTGTGCTTACGGGGGTTGAGCTCTGGCTCTTTGGTCCCGTCTCTCAACCGTCAATCAACTGATGTACAGATTTCTGAGCCTACTGGGCTCTATCATATCTACATTTGAAACTGTGTATGGAGTCAACCTCCACCACATCACTTCCTAGTGCATTCCATTTACTAACTACTCTGACACTGAAAAAGTTCTTTCTAATGTCTCTGTGGCTCATTTGGGTACTCAGCTTCCACCTGTGTCCCTTTGTGCGTGTGCCACCCGTGTTAAATAATCCATCCTTGTCCACCCTGTCAATTCCCCTGAGAATTTTGTATGTGGTGATCATGTCTTCCCTAGCTCTTCTGTCTTCCAGCGACGTGAGGTGCAGTTCACATAGTCTGTCCTCATAACTTATGCCTCTTAGTTCTGGGACTAGCCTAGTGGCATACCTCTGAACTTTTTCCAGCTTCGTCTTGTGCTTGACTAGATACGGGCTCCATGCTGGGGCTGCATATTCCAGGATTGGCCTTACTGCTGTGGTGCAGTGGTAAAACACTCTTCCGGAGTTTCGTAAGTCATTTGGCCTGGGTTCGTATCCTGGCCAGGGTGGGTTGACTATGTGCCATTCCTTAACCGTAGCCTCTGTTCACCCAGCAATGAATGGGTATCTGGTTGTTAAACAATTTGGCAAGTCATATTTCAGGAAAATTAAGATTAAGGATCTGTCAAAAATGCTATACATACTAGTGGCTTTACAAGAATGTAAGAACTCTTGTATATACAGTAAAAATAAAAAGAAAAAAGGCTTGTTTGTGGGTTAATGAGGACATGTTAAAGCCACCATTTTTAACAATTGACATCTTCCCAGAACATCACTTCCAAAAACAATCCTGATACCCATCACCCTTTACTCAAGTCACCCTATACCCACCCACTCCAGCCGATGACATGATAAATATTGCTAGCTGTATATCTCCACCTACCTATCTCCCTCCCTACAATTCTCACACACCTAGTCTCTCATCTCAATGTTCATTCTTCCCATCCCCAAGCACCCACCTGGGGCAGGGCAGAGTGGGCAAAGCAGACAGGTAGGGTGGTGATGGGGCTGGTTAGATGACTGGCAGTTCCTTCCCTCACACACTATCCATCCTCCCCCTCTGCCACCCACCTGGCTCTTAGAAGGGTCCTTATGTGTGGCACTCAGTGTCTAGGCCTTCAGCTGAGAGGATGTGTGCCTCATGCCTCTAGGGGTCATGACCCTCAAATCCTCTGTGTCTAATCTCCTATTGTGTTTGTATAAACACATTCACACTGCTGCTGAGTGCCTTCAGTACTATAGCATAAGTCACTAGTTAAACGAGGATACTCAATAGTGAGCAATTAACTTAAGGCTATTCCTGGTGGCACCCACTCACAGCCAACCGTCTCTCCAGCCAATAGGGCCATTGTCTGAAATTCCTTGCCCTGCCTCCTACAACAGCCCTCCACGACAGAACCCACACAAACACACCACCTTAGTGGTGTGCCCCTAATAAGGGGCACCCTAGTATAGTTGATAGAGCCCCCTGCCTTGTGTTCCTAGGGTCGCAAGTTCAAGCCCTACCCAGGGCGTCTTACAGAGAGTTTGTTAAATGCAGCAGAATATTATTTTTAATGCCCTTCAAGAAAACCTGGACAAAATAAGTATATGGAGCACCATTTGGTAAATGGAATTTAATGTTCATAAATCCCATATTATGGAATGTGGAATAGGAGAACACAGACCCCACACAACCTATAAATTATGTGGAAAATCTTTAAACTTCTGATAAAGAAAGAGATCTAGGGGGTGGTTCTAGATAGAAAACTATCACTTGAGGACCACATAAAGAATGTTGTGCGAAGAGCCTATTCAATGCTTT